AAGTTCTGGCCACCCACGTCTCCAACGCCCCAGCAGTGTTACCTCACACACTCACACTTGTCCTGGGCGTGCTCGTCCCTGCCCTGCTCTGGCAACACACAAACACACACATTGTAGTGTTGGCCAAAATGCTCAGACACTGCGAGCAAATTTAACTTCTTTTAAAGGCGATCACGTGCGAAAAACGAAAATCACCGGAGGACCTTTGACAACTCCAATCTTGACTTAAATATAGCATTTAAAACAAGTTGGATCATCTACTTGACTCTTGAGGAAAACATCAACTATATCCCAATGAATCCTTTTTTCCAAAAATGTCGTCTCTCCATTATTACTATTATTATTATTATTATTATTATTATTATTATTCACTTTCGCGCACTCGTTGACGTCACTTCGCATGACGGCGGCGGCGGTGGTCTCTGGCGAAGCGCGGCGGCGCGCTCGACTTTCCAGAAGAGGCCAACCACGACGCGGCGGCTGGAGCGGCTGCAGCGCAGAGCTTCTCCAGCGGCACCTCCAGGGCGAGAGGAAAAACGGCGGGAGCGCGCGGGCCCGGGCGCCCTGCGCGAGTGCAAGAGAGAAGGGGCGAGTGCGGTGGGCCCGGCGCGGCCCGCGAGTGCGAGAGAGAGAGAGTGCAGGGCGCTCTTGATTAATTAAGCGGTGTCGCCACTCACGGAGCGGTTTCATTTTTTCGCATGACAACACTGCGCGGCCTGGGGTGCAGTGAGGTTAGAGGCGAGACGTAAGAAGAAGAAGAGAGGTTTGTTGCAAAGTGCTAATAAGTGCGAGGCTGTAGTGGGTGGGTCGCAGCACCCGGCCGGGCCGGTGGCGCGCACAGAGTGTCGGGAACACCTGCGAGAACGTCGTACACGCGTAAGTGTGTTCAATTTCCTCTCACCCACTTGTCCAATTATTATTTTTTTAAATCTACAATTTTAAAGGTTTTTTTTTTTTTTAAAGTTTCGGAGTGACACCCATTTACAGTTTTAAAAACACGATTTTTACAATAGTGGCTGTAGGCTCAGTGCAGATGTGTGCATGTTCCTTGTAATTCCATACATGCTATGGAATCATTTCGCACACCTGTACGGGCACGAAGAGTGCCAAGGGGAATGCACCAATGGACAGGTGTGTGTATGTGACACGCTTAACACGCTTATTGTGTGTTGGCTCTGTTGGTCCGCCTGCGCCTGTTCCGCATCCCGGAGTCCTATTGCTTTACCGGGAGAGCGGAAGATGTGGCGTTCCCTTTAATCCTAGATCATTTCAACATTGTTTTTGTTTGGGTTTTTTCTCTCTCCGAATTATATGCACGCCGAAGGGAAGTTTAGCCAACTGCAATGGAATTGTTGTTGGCAACACTGTCTTCCTTAGGCTGCTTTTGTGTATTCCGCCGCCGTTTTGATAATCATACCACGATGGTGCCTCCTCCTGCGCCCCCCCCCTCCCCCTCCATTTCCCTCACTCCCCCTTCCCAACTTCCGGCGTAACCCCTGACGTCGCGTCCGGCCGCGCGTGCAGAGACTACCAGTTGCTGGACACCGTTGGGTCAAGGGCTCAAGCAGAAAGACAAAAAAAGGCACGTTGAAAGCGATTATAAACGAAGATAGCATGACTTTTGGGCGTGTGCGGCTTAGCTTTACAGAACCGCTCGGCGCCCAAGCACTGTAACTGCCCATTGTGGGTACACTTCAATCTCACTTTTATTGCCCCCATTAACAACCTAATGTTTATGTCACGCGTCACGTGCAAAGTGATCCATTCTGTAGCATGGTCGAGACATTGTACGGACGCGATTCCGTGTACGTCATATGCTTGGGACAAATTTTTCCGCATTTTATTGGGAGACTTTGTATCCAAGCTGATACAAATTTTCAGCGACGCTGTACCAATTCAACGTCGAGAGAGGCCGAGGTGAGGTGATAACAGTCCCCTTGACCCGAAATGACCCCAGCGCTGGGGAAAGACGGATCAAGCTGATGAAACAAGAAGATTTGATTATCGGGAGGAAAAAAGCATTACTGTGACTCGGACAATTTCCTCCGCATAAAACGCTGAGCGCGACACGGCAAGAGTCAGACGAACTTTCAAGACTCAGCTGTGCAGTTCGGAGATTCTTCGGTTCTGACAAAATTCACACGGTACGACAAATCTTTGCTTTGGATTGGGAATTTTAAAATGTAGATCAATTATGTACTGTGCTAATCTAAGTGCCTAAATGTTCTGCAGTTTGTAAATGGGAAACTTGTTCTTCAATTTGTAAGTAATGAACTACAGCGTTCATCAACTGCAACTGGATCAGATTTTTTATGACAAACTTTTTAGATCAGCAATTGAAACTGCAGAACTTTATAGTTCGACACTTCCATCTGCTGAACAAATTTTGCCACATACAACTGCATAACACGTATGCACTTAGATCAGCCTACAGTGTGTGTGTGTTCTACGCTGGTCTTTTTTCTGGTTACACTGTACTGCATGCACGTGCGCACGGTTTGCTTTAAGGCCCCTTGCTGATATTCGCTCGGATATTCGGTAGGCAAGCCCGCCCCGCCCGCACCCATTCTGAGAAATAATGTTTAGGGGTCTCGGGTCTGAACTTAACTTTCTATCTAAAACTTAAATCGTTTGTTCGCGTACTATTGCCTGCCTTGTATCTGCAGATGCCATGGTATTCAACGGATTTTTTAAAATCCTGCATCCTCTATTTTTGTGTTTTGTTGTACTAATTCTCGATTTCTCTTGCTTTTTTAGGTGCCTGGCTGGGTTGAACCCATTTGCAACTCTAATGAACGGAACCATAAAATGAAATTCAAAATGTCGAAGTTTTGTGTACATATATTACTATTGCTAATACCCTTGGCAGCAATAGAGTCCAGTAAGGATACGATTTGTACAAAATGTGCCCCAAAGGTAGAAGAAGAGCCCCCTGTAACGGTTTGGCAGCCGGATGTCTGTTATTATTTTGATCCAAAGGCAAAAAAGCGAGTCCCAATGCCCGCGGCGGCGTCCGCGCCAAAAGGTTCTGATACTTTAGTCATCGATGGTGAAGAACTTCAGGCCACACGGCATCACATCATCCCGATGAATACCTTGCGTAATTTCTTCAACAAAGCGCACGATGTTCACGATTTTTCGAAGGAAATGAATGAGTTCTTGGCCAGCAGAATTACAGCCATTGTAAAGTATTTTGCAGAACATCCTTCGGTCGGAGCGTTCTCTGGCGGTAAAGCACCTGGCATTGCGGCTCCTTTTAATACTGACCCCAACGTCCGCATGCTCTGTGCTTTCGCGTGGATGCCGGGCAACTTGTTCTACGGACCTCCCCCGCACCTTCGTGCTGACGACCGCGGCGACAGGCTTGATGTAGCAGCTAGGCAAATCACCGGTAACAAAGCTTTCGAAGTGTTGTCACGTCTCGACGAAAACATGGGAAAGTTCATCAACGACAAAAACTTCCGCACGACGGAAAATTTTGACAAAATTATGCTTGATGTTCTGGCGGTGGCCGCGTCTAGAGACAGTCCTTACGGGTTCATTGAATCCGATTGGGAGCCCGTCTTAAAAAAGAAAAAGAAGATGTTTAGAATTATTAGAGCACAATATCCTAAAGCGATCGAACCTAACCCGCAACGGAAAGTGCCCCGACGAAAAGGGTTTCCCAACGCTCCTACCGCGACTAACGGAGAACAATACTCTAAAGAAGATTACTTGAAGTCCGCCCAAGCGGTGTGTGAAACGCTCACCAGGGCTGAATCAACCCCGCAGCCCCCGAAGAACAACTCGGCCGAGGGAAGTCAGGTGAAGTCGGACGATCGCGGACGTCAGGGTGGCAAGGGCCGTCGAGGGTAGTGCCGTACGAGGATTTGGTACCCTTGTTTGTGCACATTTTGGTGGAGTCTTGTTCGCCATTATTTAAAGGCATGCGTAGAATTTATCCGGTGCCAACGGACAGCGTAGAGTAGAACTAGACAAAATGTATCTCAATTTAATCTGCAAACAAATGTAAAAAAAACCACACAAAAAAACACAATAAAACCAATCCTATTTTTTAAAAGTGTGGTCGGAAGATTTTAATAGTATATACTAGATTTTTTTATCCTAGTCCATGATTCAATTACAAGAAAAAAAAGCACCCGGTGCAAGGCGCCTGCGATTGCCGGTCTAGGCAACCCAGCGTGATCCAGTGCACGCGTGTGTTGCGGGCTTGCCTATCCCCTTTCTGCAGGCGTCCGGGACTGTGGTGGCCGTGCTCGTACTACGTTACGTACCGAAAAAAGGGGGGGGGGGGCAAATATTATGGCACTGTTCGGTATGTCTACACACTAAAATCTTATGAACATTTTTGTTCATAGTTACTGATTTCTGTAAACATGCTCGGCTTACGCATTTTTTAATGCGCCAGTATGAAGAAATTAGTGCATTCTGGCGTATTAAAAACTGCGCAAGCCGAGCATGTTTACATAAATCAGTAACTATGAACAAAAAAGTTCATAAGATTTTAGTGTGTATGGAGCAGAGCCACAATGACATTTGTACCCCGGGACTCAAATGTTATATGGTCATATGGACTCCGATGGAGATGAGACTCTTTGTCTCTACATAATAGGTTTACCCCCTCCGACTGGCACGTAACCTAGTATACGAACGATCGCCAACCTATTAGCAACCTGTGTTCACCGAGAGATTAGTTCGCTCCAAGTAATCAATAGCCACCTTTTAAAAACACACATGAAAAAAAGAAAAACCACCGGAGAAATTTAGGGAGGGGGTGAAACAACAAAAATCAAGAACGAATCAAGAAAAACGCTGTGTTTTTATTTGCTCACGCCGGTGACTTGGAGGTTAGGGTGCTGCGGCCAGGGCAGCCACCTCCCCGGCGTGGGCCGCGGGCGCGCGCGCCGGCCCCCCCTGGCCGCCCGGCGGCGCCACCGTCGCCGGTGCTGCGGCGGTGGCCGCGGCAGCCGCCCCTGGAGGCTCGGCGGGCGGCGGGCGGCGGCGGGCGGCGCGGTGCACTACTATAAAGGGCGGCTCGCCGTGGACCGGGTAGCAGACAGTCTGACCCGAAGCCATGAAGAGCATCGTGCTTGTGTGTTTCGCCCTCGTGGCCGTCGGTACGTACTACCGAGAGTGCCTCTTATTGTGCTTCGTCTTCGTCTTCCCTGTGTGACGTCAGCAGCCCCCCAGGACTCAATTGGATATATACGACTTCCTGTGCCGCCAAAGTGCAATATCCGCTGTTCTCGATCATGTTTTTTCATGTTTCCGCAAAAGTGACGCGCTCCTCTGCCTCGTGGGACTTTTTTTGTGATCGATGCGGTTCAGTGCAGCGGTTTGTGGTGCATCAGTGTTTTAGCGAATCAGTTTTTTGTTTGTGGGTGTGAATCTGTGTTGTTAAGCACAGCTACTTATATCGTGCCCTCAAGTGAAAGTTATTAAGCCGTAATTTGTCCTTTGTTTTATTCTGACTTTTTTGAACAAACCGTTGCTAAAGGTTTAAAAACAAAAACATTTTTATCTTCTGAACTTTCATTATTATTATATTTATATCATTATATATTTATATCATATATTGAAATAACTAGTCGTGATAAAAAATGTATTCTGTGAAGTGAGCTCTTTTCGCATTGTTTTTAACGTTGTTGCTATTATCTGGAGAAGTGAAAAATGTCATTCTGTAGAAATGAAGCACTAACGTATTTTTGCATTTCGACGTTGTGCGTCAAATCTCTGCACTGTCCCCGCCCGCATTGATCACTTGCGTTGTCTGCCTCTCGCGCGAGCAGTGAATGCTCCAATTGCACAAATTTGAGAATTTGCCCATCGGGTCGCGTGCCGTTGTTTGTAGCACGTTTCAAGTGTGTGACATACATTGTGAGGCATCTGTTGTGCGCGTTTGGTTGTCAGCAAAGTAGAGTCAGTAAGAGCTAGGAGTTGGGCATTTCGTTTTCCATTTGGGTTTGTGTTAGTGCCGGTTTAAACAACATTGTTGCACATTTGTGTGTGTGTGTGAGGGAGATAGATAAGGTTAGTGATCGCGTTGGGCAGGATTTGTTGCTGCTATGAGGGAGATAGAGACAGTGCAAGGCCTCGGTGAAAGCGACGCTGAGCTGTGCTCGAGTTCTCACGGCTGTCTACACCACTTGTTCGCGGCGACACTCGTGGCGTGCAGCCTCCCCGGCAGCCAGCGGAAGTGCAGCGCGAAAAGTGAAGCACTAACGAGGAAATTCAACAGACAGGCGCCTTTTTTGTGTTCTTGTATCTTTTACAAAGTGAGAACAAAATGGGCTCGTTAATTAGGGTTACTGTTTTAACGGTGAACTGCAGCTGAAGAAAGAGTATAGTGTGTCACTCTTTGAACGTCAGGTTAGGCCTTTAGTCTGCTAACTCATTAATTCCTGATACAGTTTTTTTACGATCGACTTTCGATGCCATCCTCTCCTGCGCGGCCGTTTCACTTCGCTCTTATGGGAATGTCGTCCGGTCACAAACTCTCGATTTCCTTTTCGAAAGAAATCGTTTTTGCGTCCATAAAATGTCGAATCAAGAGGCGATCCACTTCCGAAAATAGTAAAAATCGCAACCAGGCGGAACGGGGATATGCATGTTTGGCTCGTTAACCGACCAGTCCATAAAAGTTTTCGTGTGGATTTACTCGACTTTTTGATATTCTCTCTCTCCTCTCTCTCTCTCTCTCTCTCTCTCTCTCTCTCTCTCTCTCTCTCTCTATCTCTCTGTCGCTTCCCCCTCGTCTCTATCTTTTTCTCGGCTCGGATGTGACTCTCTGAAGTAACTTGCGCTAGTTACCTTTTCTCGTCCGATCGCCTCTGCATCGGAAATGCGCAGGGCGTGGCGTGGCGTGGTGCTGTGCGGCGCGGTGGAGCGGGGTGGGGAGGAGGAGGGGGGGAGCGGAACGGAAAGCTCTAGATACGGCCGCCACCTCCAGCGAAAGGAATCGGGTGTGGTGGTGGTGGTGGTGAAGGGAGGAGTCTGCGAGGGAGGGGGGGAGGGGGCATTGGCCTGGCGCTGTGTCCACGTAGCCTAGCGTCACCCGGCGTCACCTCAATGCATAGCACAAACAGGTGAATTATTTTGAAACGTCCAAACAGTTTTCCGCCTCGTTGACGTCGAGCATTTTTAACACGCCAGTATGAACAAATTTGTTCACACCGGCGTATTATCACTTAACTATGACTAAAAATGTTCATAAGCTTTTAGTGTGCACACGTGTTCTATAATTGACAGTCAACACTGTAAAAAATATATATAAATTTACAAAAAATTTGTAAACTAGAATTATAATTTAAGTTGTAAATTTACGAGAGCACAGTTTTTTACTCGTCAATGGATTTTAAGTCGATACGTACTGCAGGTATTTTTACGATTACAAACTGCAATTTTACAACTTGCGTTAAGAATTTTTTTCCGGTAAACCTTCATATTGTTTTCCTCATATGAATCGCCAAGAATTTTCATAAGATTACCCCTGAAAGATGCTCGTACCTTTTGAACGTTATCCAAAGAGTGTGCGTGAATAACGAACTGACTCGAGTTGCCATAGCCACACCTTGGCAGGCCCCGGCCCACGACCTCTTCAGATCCGTGCGTCCTCGCGAATAATAAAATGAAACTGTTTCGTCAAAACCGTTAACGCAAATTTTTATTAGTCTTGTTTTATTATTTTTTAATGGATTTCCTCGTATCCGTGTGTATGTGGCGCTGGACACATTGTGTGTGTGTGTGTGTGTGTGTGTGTGTGTGTGTGTGTGTG